CTGTCAACACTTAGCACCATATATAATCAGAATATTTTTTAAAAATTCAATTCATTTTCAAAGAACAAAAATATGGCAAATTGATTCTGAAATAATTGTGGAATCTATGATTAACATTCTAAAAGCAACTTCAAAAAATACCCCCTAAACTGATGATTCTTACTTGAAGCAATAAAGTTAAAGCTAACACAGATGTTAATATACAGTTGTAAAAGTTTAGCTTACAGCTCAGTTAGATTTGACATCTCTAGTCCCATGCCTGCATGTCTACCTATTGTTCAATTTATCCCAGCAAATAGGCCTATATTGCTTAAAAAATATTCTGAGTATTTAATCATTTTCTCGATCACCTTCAACTTACAGAATTTCATTCATTGATGAAAGATAATTTTTTGTATGATAATCCACAGGTTCATGTCACTCCCCATACTTACCACAAGCTTAGAAATTTATATTTGTGATGAAAATTATGACAAATTATTAGATTCATTCATGCTCATGAAAACATATTGCCTTATTGAATATTAAGTATTTTATAAGGTTTAAATATACTGAATTTTTTTGCTAAAAAGTTAAAATTATCCCCCATGCAATATACTGGAAAGTTCTACCTTAGTTTTATTTTAATATTTTTAACAGATATGTGGCCACCATATTCTCTTCAATAGTTCTTTCTGATCATAGTCTTACATGGAAAAAGGAATGTTGACCCTTTGTGTAGCTGTACATTTGAGTGTACTGGTAACTGCTCATCTTAAAAGGACACAGTTCTTATAACTTCACTGTTTCTATTTGCTTCTCCATGAAAAATAATTTAAAATAACAGAGAAATTTTTAAAAAATTAAAAAACTTACACTTTCATTCTTGAGAATGCTTCATTTTTACATAGTAGAGTTATACTAACATTATTAATAGAGTTATTAAATATGTGGAAACATCTTTGCGAGTTACATCTCAATAGGCTCTTTCACAAAAGTAATTTCTTTTATATCTTAAATATATGTTTTTAATTTATTAACACTTTATATAATAGTTTTAGGCCTTTAGTTTTATTGATTATGTGTCTTTTATTTGGTATACACTGGTACTATTTTTATCTTCAAATAAACTTAAAATATTTCCCAATAAAACCATCTCTGCAAATGACACAAAGTATGGTCTTGGAAGAGAAGTTTAATGTTTAATTTTAACTACATTCCATTTCATTTTGAAACTTTAAAAATTAGTCATTGAAGTCCTTTCTTAGGTCATCTGGTATAATGGAAAATAGTATATATATAAATTAGATACTCATATCTATATGCTCATATATATATATGCTCATATCTGCCTCAAAAATTAATCTGTAACTCTAATAAATATTAAGGATTAAAAGTATCAGAATTTCATAAATAAGTGGAAGTGATTTTTTCTCATATTTTAGAATATTCAATTTGATCAAGAGTTAACTATATGTAATCATTATGTTCAATAAAATATTAAATCCAAAGTATAAACTCCATTTTTACTCTATAAACATTTGAAAATTAATAGAATAGTCTTTTGTATTAATTGCACTAATTTCCCTCATATACTTTTGAATCTACATTATGCAAAAGATAGTAAGTGCATGTTGTTTTCACTTTGTACACCTCACATGCTGTAACAAAACAATCCCATGTAAACTCTAAATAGATCCTGCTTAGTGCTTCTGAAATTGTCTTTTGTGTACTGTCAAGGTAATTGAAATTCCATTTGTTGGATATTCTAAACCTTTTTGAATTCTTTATCCTATATATTTTTCCTGGTTAGCCTATCACATTCCAGATTACAACAGTTTTATCTCATCATTATCTATTCTTTTTCCTTGAAGTTCCATTACATAAAAAAATCCTTTATAGCCTGTAATCTACTAGTAGAAAGATTCGTTTACAGTATTCATTTTTTTAAAATTAACTTTTGCTTTAGAACACCTGCAATCCTCTTAAGACCTATATACCCTCATAAATTACACAGCTAGCAAATAAAAGGCACATGTTTAGGTATAAATTTAGCGTTTTAATGAATATAAATCATGCACCTGGCTAATCTCTTACAGAAAATAACAAGAGTCAGTTTCTAAGGATTTTTTTTCCAAGATTCAATTTGAAAGAACGATAAACTGATATCACGAGAGCCTCTGTGTGTGTGTGCACGTGTGCATGTATGTGCACTCAGGCTCACCATGTGCCCAACAATCCTGTCTCTGTGACTGAGTCCTGACTTCTGTACCTGGAGACACAGCTTTAAAAATGATTTTGAAGAATTTGATTTGAGATATGTTCTAGTGAAACAAATGAAATGGCTAAATCCAGTCAACCCTTGCTCATGGACAAGGAAGAGATTACTGGAATTTTGTATTACCTATAGTTAAGGCCCAAAAGGAACATGGACTGTCTACCTCCCTCCCATATTTAGATCAGAAATCAAACAGCAGCCAGGCCCAGACTTCCTTCAGAAGGGGGCAGAGGAGCCAAGTTGTCCACAGCCAGACTGGGCTGAGTGCATGTGCTGTGTGTGAGGGGAGGGAGCCTCTGTAGCCCTCACTCCAGAACACTTTCTTATTCACTAGGCACCAAGGAAATTGAGCCCTAAGACTTTGCTTCTTTCTTCCCAGGTGTAGCTGGTGGTTGTAGTGAGCAGAATTACTGTTACACCTTTTCGAAAAAGTTAGACCACCCTCACATAGTTACAAGTTGACTACAGTTTTGTTACCATGGGGTTATTCAAGTCTTATTCCTGGTGTCATTGATAGATTAAACAAAGATATACATTTTAATTTACATGTGTATAAGAACAGAAACATGCTCTTCAGTAATCTCTTGTCCTTTTATGGTGCTGGGTACACGAAAACCAGGAGAATTTTTTGACAAAAGAGAATATGTAAAAAAATGACATACCATACTCAAGGCTGATAGTTACGCTAAACGTGCATTTAAGTTTCTAAACAATGGCAGGATATTTCAGACTACTGCACCCTTTTGCTGCACAGTGTCTAAAAATATCTGAACATTTCATTAAAAGATATACCGAGTGAAGAGAGTAGATTGCCTAGGTCCAATTTAACAGTATGAAAGTGAGTACAGATAATATAAATCAAAATCATCTCTAAGATTTCTTTTTTTTTAACTTTTATGCCAAGTTAAGAGCATTGTTAGTAAATGGTATTATTGGACTTGTCTATTAGAAGTGGTGGCTACAAGTTAAAAAAATAATTGTATCAGTATAATATTCACATTCATTGAGTTTCTAATCACCTCCTTTACAGGAGCCATTCAAGGATTTCTAATTGAATTTATGACCTTGTACTGAAATGACAACATGAAACTATGATTACTCATATAAGCCTGGTTATTTTATCCTTATATTTATTTTTCCTTCATAGTATTTCTTTGGTATTATAAAAAAAGATGACTTATTTAAGAAATTAATTAACTAATGCAAAATGTATTTCTATTATCTTCAAATTTAATTAAGACTTATTTATGCCATTGCCTTAGTGAGGACTACAGTTATTTCTGAATGTCAGCCTCTTATCTATTTCCCTCAGCTTTAAAATGTAATAAAATGCCCAGATTCTTTATTTGGTATTTCACGTCTCCTTTCTTTCATGTCACAAAAGATAAATTTACACGGCTGCACTGACAACATCACAGCTTTGAAAATGAGTCCACCTGTTACTTTATAAATAGTTCAGTCACTGACTTTAATCCGTCTTCTTCTATCACTCTAATGCCAAACTTACAAATTTAAAAATGCACTTTTCTCAACTTCTAAATCAAGCATCCTAACGTCTATTCACTTGGCTAACAGACAGCAACAGAGGTAGTGTTTGGACTTAGAAGATATCAATCAGCAAGCATTCTCATTTAGGAACATTAGACAGTGTGCCCTGTTTTAACGAACAATCAGTGCAACAATGGTAAGAGTCTATCTTCCTAGGATGTGTGTAGGTGAAAATCGTTGGGTGCTGAATTATTCATTTCACTTCTCTGTTTGTTATCAGTATTTCAACATAATCATCTATGATCTATACATTTTACATAGTTCTTGTAGTTCTATCCCAGAAATCATACACATATACACATGCATATATGTATATATGTTACATATATTTTATATATATATATATATATATATATATATATATATAAATATGTATATATAAATTTATCCTGGCTGGGATTTTTCTTTTTTAAATATCAACCTTTCAGAAACTATAGCTTTGAGTTTATTAAAGTTTAGAGCAGAACTAAAACAAAAAGAATACACACCACACCCTCAGATCAGACTTTCTGGAGAGACTGGAAAGTCTTGAAGTCATGGACTGTACCTTGAGGAAACAGATTCTTTTATAACTTTAGGACAGTTCAAGAATTTTTCAAAGCAGATCCTAGATCTTAGTACCTGTTCATCATCAGGGATTGTGGATTTCTATAGGTATCACACAAGAAATTTGTACCCACCACTCAACTCATCACTTCCTAAGAGTTAGAGGACATTTAGCTTCACTTTCCAAAGCAGAATTTCCTTTTCACTTGTGAGACTCCCCTGCTTCAAACCAGAGATGAGGCTGGGAGTTAGTTACTGTGTAGGTTCTATTCACAAAATAGCTATTTCATTTAATAAATTAAATTTGCATTCTTACCTGTTTTCTAGTGTGGAGTTCTACCCCAAACATGATTCATTATGAATAGCCAACATCCTGGACTAGAATTCATATTTCTTAATGCTAACTGGAGAAGTAAGTTAGGTTTTATAACTTGAAAATCACAAGTCTCTTCTGGCTACAACCTCCTCATAAACCACACAACTGCAGTTAAAAGCTTTTGCATGTGAAACTTCTGTATCTCAAATCAGTTTTCTGTTCCAAATGCCCACTATAAATAAATCAAAGGAATTTAACTTTTCTTTTAAACATGGATATATTGCTGAACATTTATATGTTGAAATAGAAAATAATATTGCCTGTTGCACTCACATGGCACCGTGCGGAGGTAGAGGTTGTCACGAATGATTTGCTGAAGTTCGTGGTCCACAGAACCCTTCTGAAATCGTAAGTTGAGGTAGTGACGAAGATCCTTATCAACAATTCCTCCTAGAATGATAAAGTTTCTTAATAAAGAGCTTTGGAAATTATTTTAAATATGGAATTTAATTCTGTCATAAATATACTCATGAACCTAGTTAAAAGAGGCATTATTTCACATTGCTCTTTTGACTTTCTGAAACATTTACTGCCATAATAATAAAATATAACATTTACTAAGATAATAATTGTCTACCAGGTCTGTGCTCGGTGTTTAACATGCATTCTTTAATTTACTTTTCATTTAGAATGAAGGTAGAAGGTACGTGTTACTCCTGAGCGAATACTGAAATGTCATAATATATCTCATTGAATGGCTAACAAGATTTTTTTTTCTACTTCACATTTTCCCTTCCCTCTAGCTTCTGGCAAGCACCCACACTAGTCATCTGTCTCTTCAAATAGGACTACTAGGTAGCTCATGTAAGTGGAATCATATAATATTTGCCCTTTTGTGACTGTTATATTTCACTTAGTATGTCTTCAGGGCTGAAAATATTTTTGTCATTTAAATTCTATGAATTTAGGTTATTATGATGATAAAAAAGTTAAAACAAAATAAACTACACAATTAATGTTTTACTCCCTTTATAATATCTAAGTAATTTCTCTTTTCTATAAAAATGTGCAGATGTTTCTAACTAGACATCAAGATGTTAAACTTAGGTATTTTTTATTATTATAATCATTTTATTATTATATAAAAAATTTGAGGCTATTTGAAATTATAATCTAATGAAAAATAAGTTGGGCTATAAGGTAGGAAAGCCAATATGTAGATTTATCCAAGATTAAAGATAAATATTTAAAGATAATTGTGTTAAAGTATGAAGATTTATCTAAGACTCTTTATATTCTTATACATGAAAGAAAGAATATAAAACAAAATATCTATAGAATATATTAATTACTTAAACCCTTACTTTTCAAAAATATCAGGGTAGTTGAGCTAAGACAAAGAATTAATGACAGAAGAAATAAGAAATCTGTAAAATCAAAAAATCATATTCTCTTCAAATCCTTTTGAATCTTGAAATTATGGTTCATCAATCTATTTGAACCACTATGACCACATAAAATAGCATTAGGTAGGTATGCATATATGGAGTACAAACACCTTTTACTCCAACAGTAGTTAATATATTTGCAAAGTATATATTGTAATATTTATGAAGTTTCCAAATGCATTGTTTCAGTTGTCTCCTAATTTGCTGGTACAGCCTCAGAAAGATGCCATAAAAATAATACTTTAACTAGATTATTTAACTCTTTACTCTCCAAGAAATGTCTCTCATATATTTCCACAAGTAGTCTTAATTTATTTTTCCACCCAATACAATATAATAGCAGAAAATAAATGATATCAAAGGAGAACATATTGCTTATTAGGTGCACAAAAATATTATATACAGAGTGCTTGCACATACAGTTTTCCAAATTCAAAACCATTTTCTCAGTAAAGAAGCAGAACAGTCAGAAATGGAAGTCACTCCAAACTACCAGCACTGACATTAATAATTACCTATTATTTAGATCTTCAAATGCCCTGCATTTCTACATGTTGAAATTTTTCTTCCAGTCTAATAAGTAGGACATGCCAAGTGATGACACGCTTTCTGGCAGCCCCAGAATATGCTAACTATAGAACAATAGATATAATCTGACCACTAAAAAGACCAGAATTATTCAACTAATGTATGTAACATAGATAAGTTCATATGTGTAGTCTAGGATGATTCTTTTTCCTGAAAATATATATATTATCAGTCTAAAATCATTTCTGCTATTACAATTATACTATATTTGCCCTCTCAAAATGTATGTATGTAGGAAAACAACCAAAAAGGCTGTCTATTCCTTCAGTGACTTTAATACATTTTCGATGTTTTAATTTATTGATATTACTGTGTCACATCATTTTTTTCCCCATGAAAGAACATGCTGAAGTTTCTGAAACTAATATAAAATTTCTCTCATTAGTTAAAATGAATTGTCACAAATTACTGCATTTGTTTTGGAAGGAATTTTCCTGCTTCATATTTCACCAATACTTTATCACCCATCACAATTTATCATAGCATCTGTCAAGTAATCCAAAATTCTTTTACCCACTGTCCTTATTATTGCAAAGAATCTGTTGGTTCTCTACCCAATATTCTTTCTTCTATTCTTTTTTTAATTAAGAACCACAATTTTGTTTCAGGCCCAAACATACTTAGGCCCAGGACATGGATCACTATGGTCTGAGACAATTATCCAATCTAACTCCTAGGTGCCCTCCCAGCTTCTTTCTCATAGCTATGTTCTGGCCATTAAGACCTAACACAGAAGGAAGGATTTCTTTATTCATTGAACTAAACTTGATATCTGATATATATTAGCCATAATCAGACCATTAAGTGACTTGCACAAGGGAAAAATCCAAAATACTAAGGATATAAAAGATGAAGTTGGAAATAGCCTGGGACCCTGACAGTTTCACTAAGCAGCTAAAATAATATCAGCAACTGCTTACATTAAGATTTCTTATTATATGAGAAAAAGTTTATATTCATTTCCTAAAATCATTATGGTTTTCTGTCATTTGCAACTCTACACAATCCCTATGTGTGTGTATTTATGTTTTACATATATATATATATATACATAATATGTACACACATATTTAAAAGAATGTTTTTCCTTAATTGTAAATTTCATTTAGAGAAATATTAAGCAACAAATAGTGGGCAACAGCTGAGCTAAACAATAAAGCCTGGGTCTCAATACCATCTGTTTTCAGTTATATAAGTTAACATTTTTAAAGCAAGCTAAAAACTAAAAAAATGTACATCATATTCAATAAATGTTATCTATTGTTAAAGTAAATAACTTGCTGCCCTATTTGCCAAAGTTATAATTTGTGGTTTTATTGTTAGTTTGTCTGTAGAGTTTCTGTTTTGTTGTTTGTTACTGACACCTAAATCCGGTAGCTTAGAGGATGTGCACATAAACCCTCTGCGAAGCATAGCTCTGTCAAGTACACTGCCCCTTAGCTGTTGTGCTCGTCGCTTCAACAAAATTCAGTGGTTTTACTTAGTATTATTTTTAATAGTTGCATTATTTCATTTAATGGTGAACATTTTGTTTTTCTTTATTTTACAAAGTAAGACAATAGATTAAAATATACAACACCTTCTCAAATCACACATTTGTCAATAAGAGATCTGGGAAGGATTTGAATCCTATGATTTTGCTTCTAAAGAACATCTACCATCTAAGGACCAAACTTTATAGTCCAAATCAGTCAAGTCTTTCTTCTCAAGTGTGACCACAAACAAGCTTTCAACCTGATATCATCAAAGGATAACTTAAGAAGAACCCTTAAGAGAGAACTTAATTTAAACTCCTCATATTGCAAATGAAGAAAATGAAGCTCACTCAAATTATTTGGCATCAGGTTTAAAGTAAAGATGAAGAGAAGAGGGAAGCAGCAAGGATCGACTTTCATGGATAATTTGGGGAGAAAATTCTACATGTTACCACTTAAAAATGGTATGTATCTCTACATTTTGAATGTTTTCAGAAATGTCTGTGCTAGAACTGCTTTGTCCCCTCCACTATTTAAATGCTCAGATTGAGGAAGCAAAGAAAGAAGATGGGGCTTGGATGAGACGAACAAAATCTCCTTAGCATATCCCTTAAGAAAAATAGTTAGTCCTAGCCTTGTAGCTAAAGCAAGATACTCTTCCTAAAATTGAAGGAGAAATATATCAGGCTCTGTAACATTTGTGCCTGAAGGTCTGATTGCTACTAGCTGGCAAAAGAAGCCCCGCCCCTCATTCATGGGCGTGAACATTGGCTCAAACATTCCCTTCTGACAGCTTATGGAATTGACATGCACTTTATAAACTTAATGTAAACTGGGGAGAATAGTTCACTAATTGGGATTGTGTGGGGTGTGCAGGAAGATGAAGGTAGAGATGATCAGCAAACCAAAGTCTGGTTCATTCTGATGTCATTTATTCATCCTGTCCTTTAGCCAAATTAGGCTACTTTAACATTTTATTGACCTTGTTTATTTTTTCTCTTCCTTCAGTTTTTTTTTCCCATTTATACTCAACCTGATGCTGCAGTGGGCTCTGATTATTTTTTTGTTTTGCTTGTTTGTTTTGTACCCACTTCTGCTTTATCCTGTACTTTTATCCCTTTCTTTTCATAATAGTACCCTGATCTCCTTTTTTGAGTGGCTATAGCTCTCTCTTTCTGTATAAATGTGGTTAGACTTTTAACCAATCTCCCCTGGCTTCACTTAGCCAATTAAAAGAAAAACATTAAACTAGGTGACTTAAATAACAAATACTTATTTCTTCTAGCTCTGGACACTGAGAAGTCAAAGATCAAGGGGCTGGCAGATTGGGAATTCAGTTGGGCACTCTTCCTGGTTTGCAGATGACCATCTTCTGCTTGTCTTCTCACATGGTTGGAAGGGAAAATTTCTCTAGTGTTTCTGCTTGTAAGGGTACATATCGCATTTGTGAGAGTGCCACTCTCATGACCTCACTAATTCCTAAAGGCCCCAATTCAGATTCATGAACTCCTAGTACTATCACATTGGGGGTTAGGATTTTAGCATAAAACATTTGAAGGGGCCACAAACAGTTCATGACAATAGGTCTAGTCCTAATAAGGTCTGTGCTAGATACAAATTCCTTGTTTCCATACAAAATAATTACCAAGTGTACTTTACAGTTTGGGGATTTTTTTTTTTTGGCAATCAGACAACCAAATTATTTTATTTGTTAATTATAATTATAGAGCACCATTCAATTATAGCCCATAATGAATAAAGCCATGGGTAGTCTCCCTTTGATATGGTTTATTGTTCTAAATTTTCTGAATTGTTCAGAAAGCTAAGATTATTAACAGAAAATTGATTTCTTACATCGTCTTTGCCAAATAAGTAGTACGATAATCAAGCAAGACAGTCTATAAGGAATTAGAAGAAGGGAGTGATCTATCCATATCCC